GAGGTACATCACAAACGGTTCATAGTTCTTGCGCACTCCCGCGAACGCCCCTCACGTCCTCGACCTGTGAGCCGTTACATTGGTGTGTTGACCAAGTCGACTCGAACCCGGAGGNAGGACAAGCACCGACCGACTTAAACTTCAAGGAGCAAGAAACGCTCATCGACACGAACCAAACCTCAACACGGGAATCTACCTACAAGTACGTTACATTAAGTCTCAAAAGAAAAAACAATGGCAACGATCCTGTCCGCTCGCCAAGGACAATTAACAAAGGCAATCAATCGCCTCGTATTCACCTTAAATAGCTATCAGAACGAAATAGATACGCCAGTAAACCTTCCGTCCGAACAAGATAGCAGAATCGAGTACATTACTGGACGGCAAAGGAAGATAGAACACGCAAAATCGGCCATTGAACATGAAAGAAACAGCGTCCAGACCGCGTTGGATGCTTATGCCATGATGGCAGACCAACTCCAGGAAAACCCTAACACGCAAGCAAAAGACGAGCTTCAACGCACTGCCAATAAGAACGTAGAAAAGGCAGTCGAGCACCTCGACGAGGCGGAACGCTGCCTCTCTAAACTCATCGACATAGGAAAAACGTTGGAAGACACCGAGTCATACCCACGAAGGGAGTCAAATGTCCATCCACCTCTTGCGAATCTGCCACCCATCCCTATTCCGAAATTCAACGGAGACATAAGAGAGTGGGAAGCACTTTGGGGAGCATTAAATTACAATGTGCACTCCCGCCGGATGGACGACCTCCAAAAAATGACGTACTTGCTAGACGCCCTTCAGGGAGAGGCAAGAGAATGCGTCAAACAATACCAAGTATCTCAAAGTACTTATCCGATAGTAATACAGCATCTGAAGGAAAAGTACGACAACAAACAAGCTCTCATCCGTGATTTGCTACATAGACTACGTACAACAGAAGCAAAGACTGAACGCCTCGAAGATCAAGAAAAATTGTGTGAAACTCTTCACTCGATAGTTGTTCAACTGCAACGAAAAGGGGAACTCATCGATACTCTGCTCCTACAGCAATTACTGTTAGAGAAATTCACAAAAGAGATTCAAAGGCATGCTCGGCAAAAAAGACGACAGAGAGCAGAAGAGGCACGAACTTGCGAACTGCTAAAGGATATCAAAGGCTACATAAAAGAGGAACTAGAATTACGGGACCGAGAGCAGGAAAAGCCCACGTTAAGAATGGAACACATAAGTCAACCAGAAAGGACGTTCAAAACTACACGATATACATGCTTCTACTGCAACAAAGGAGGACACTCACCAAACGATTGTGAGGTGATAAGAACTCAACAAGAAAGAGTACAAATTATTAAAACTCGCAACCTCTGTTACAATTGCGGTTCATCATCGCATCAGCTGCCCTGCTGCAAAGCGGGCCCGTGCCGAAATTGCAATAAACACGGACACCACACGTCCATTTGTAGGTACCAGTACGGACCGACTGAATACAAGCCGAGAAAAGGAGGAAACACTACAAGAGACAAAACAAAGGCACCTTCAAAATTACCAATTCCCATTCCAAGGGAAAAGAAGCCAAGTTCATCAAAAATCAATACGGTAACTTCTGATAAGACACAGCCGGAGGATACCGTCGTTCTTCACACTAGGAGAGAACTCGCACCCAACAGTCAAATTTTAGCAGGACAGGTGGAAGTATTCAATCCTAGCAAGACGAGACGAGAATTAACGGAGGTGATCCTCGATACAGGATCTGACCGTTCGTTCATTACGAATGCTCTGGCCAATCGCCTTCAACTACGAGACAGTGATTCCATCGAATTAAACATTCACACATTCGGCGACACAAAGCCAATTACCAGGACGTGCGGAGTCACTACGTTGAAATTGAGAGATGCCTTTGGTTCGGAGCACGAAATTACGGCAACTAGAATTGATAAGATAACGCAACTTCTCGAACGATTCAATCTAAACGCAGAGGACACAGAATTTCTCGAGAACCATAAAATCAAGCTTTCGATCAATCCAGATCTCAACACTATATACCCAGAGAT